GGTTGCTTCCATTTCTTGGCTATTATAAATAGTGCTGCGATAAACATAGGGCTGCATATGTCTTTTTCAAACTGGGCTGCTGCATTCTTAGGGTAAATTCCTAGAAGTGGAATTCCTGGGTCAAATGGTATTTCTATTTTTAGATTTTTGAGGAACCTCCATACTGTTTTCCACATTGAACTAATTTACATTTCCACCAGCACTGTAGGAGGGTTCCCCTTTCTCCACAACCTCGCCAACATTTGTTGTTGTTTGTCTTTTGGATGGTGGCCATCGTTACTGGTGTGAGGTGATATCTCATTGTGGTTTTAATTTGCATTTATCTGATGATGAGCGATGTGGAGCATCTTTTCATGTGTCTGTTGGCCATCTGAATTTCTTCTTTGGAGAAGTGTCTGTTCAGATCCTGTGCCCATTTTTTAATTGTATTATTTGCTTTTTGTTTGTTGAGGTGCGTGAGCTCTTTATGTATTTTGGATGTCAACCCTTTATCGGGTCTGTCATTTATGAATATATTCTCCCATACTGTAGGATGCCTTTTTGTTCTATTGATGGTGTCCTTTGCTGTACAGAAGCTTTTCAGCTTGATATAGTCCCACTTGTTCATTTTTGCTCACACTAGTTTTTTTTGTTTTTTAAGAAACCCTTTTATTTCTTTTCTTTAAAATTTTTTTATTAAGGTACAATTGATGTACACTCGTATGAGGGTTTCACATGAAAAAACAATGTGGTTACTACAGTTACCCATATTATCAAGTCCCCACCCATACCCCAATGCAGTCACTGTCCATCAGTGCAGCAAGATGCCACAGATTCACTGTGTGCCTTCTCTGTGCTGCACTGTTCTCCCCGTGACTCCTCACACCATGTGTACTAAACATAATACCCATCAATCCCCTTCTCCCTCCCTCCCCACCTGCCTTCCCACACCTGTCCCCTTTGGTAACCACTAGTTCATTCTTGGAGTCTCTGAGTCTGCTGCCATTTTATTCCTTCACTTTTGCTTCATTGTTATACTCCACAAGTGAGGGAAATCATTTGGCATTTATCTTTCACCGCCTGGCTTCACTGAGCATAATGTCCTCCAGCTCCATCCATGTTGTCACAAATGGTAGGATTTGTTTCTTTCTTATGGCTGAATAGTATTCCATTGTTTATATGTACCACATCTTCTTTATCCATTCATCTACTGATGGACACTTAGGTTGGCTACATATCTTGGCTATTGTAAAAAGTGCTGCGATAAACATAGGGGTGCATATGTCTTTTTGAATCTGGGAAGTTGTATTCTTTGGGTAAGTTCCAAGGAGTGGGATTCCCGGGTCAAATGGTATTTCTAACTTTAGTTTTTTGAGGAACCTCCATATTGCTTTCCACAGTGGTTAAACTAGCTTACATTCCCACCAGCAGTGTAGGAGGGTTCCCCTTTCTCTGCATCCTTGCCAGCATTTGTTGTTCTTAGTTTTTTCGATGCTGGCCATCCTTATTGGTGTGAGGTGATATCTCATTGTGGTTTTAATTTGCATTTCCCTGATGATTAGTGATGTGGAGCATCTTTTCATGTGTCTGTTGGCCATCTGAATTTCTTCTTTGGAGAACTGTCTCTTCATATCCTCTGCCCATTTGTTAGTAGAGTTATTTGCTTTTCAGGTGTTGAGGTGTCACACTAGTTTTTTAAATGATTAATCTACTAACTTTATGTTTGCTTTTACCAGTGAAATAGTTTCCTTTCAAAATTTTCTTCTAGGTATGGCACTTGTTTTTCTACTTAAATCAACCAGATGACTCAAGGCTCAGTTGCATTCAGTGTATATACTGATTGGTTTCTAGTTCACCCTTATTTTTATATGTATATATAAAATGTATATGTATGTACATATACATAATATGTATCTGTCATTATGAAATAAAAAAAGGTGGCAGTTCTGAGATTCCTATTTGCTGCCATATAAGAGCTCTCAAACAATCTCATGAATGAGTATGGAGCTTAGAGATTACAAACATTTTCCTTCTATGCAAATTAATTCCCACAACAGCCTTTAGGGGTGTGATAGTTAGGTGTGGTATTAAGCAAAAAATTAGAAAACAGGGCCTAAGAGAGGTTAAATAACTTGTCTGTAGCTGCATGCCTGGTGCATGGCATATGTTTTTTTGTCTACAACTATTAGTAGCACTTTATTTCAACTATTGTAGCCAGTTAATGCTTGCCTAGAGATAGGTTAGTGACTTCCCAGTTTTGTCATGTTATGCTTTCTTCTTTCTCTAAACCATATAACTTAATAACCCCATGACTCATGTTTTAAAGATTGAGACAGTTGGGAGATTACTCCTTCATAACCCATTCCTCATTCCTCCCCACTACACTTCATTTCTAGAACATGGTCCCACTGGCTCTGGAATTTGCCACTTCTGCTACCCTGTTGGAAAGCTTGCTTTATCACTAGTCCTTTCTCTTCTCACATGTAGTCAGTCCCTTTCTGTCTCTTTAGACTTGTCTCATGTTTTCCACTTGTGAAAGGTATGCTTTTCTTTCCAGTGCATTTATCATCTTTCCTGTCATTCATATGGTGAAACTAACTCCCTTAGTGGATATCTTCTGTAAGCTTTCCTTTCTTGTTTCTCTAGTCACTCCTGATAAGATCTAGACAAAGTCTTGTTTGCTCTGGTCTTCTGAATTTTAGGGAGAGCAAAAAACTTCCTGCCTCAAACCCTCTTTCTAGTAATATAGCCTGAGCCAGTGCTCCTATACTTATGGTGGTGCTTCTGCTTCTGGTGCTCACATCTCATTTCAACATCCTCATAATGATAACCTGAACAATTATCTTACATTAGGCCAATGAATGTCAAATGCCCTTGTTTACTTCGAGCATAGTCAATCACATGGTGTTGTTATATGTTCAAGGGTATGAAGATATTGCCTCCTCAAATTTAGTATTACTCCATTTTCTTTTGAGAACTATTATTATTATTATTATTATTATTTGGTATCCCTTTCTAAGGATTCTCTTCTTGGAGGTTTATTCATTAATATTTTTCCCTGTCCCACTCACAGATAGGCCATGCTTTAAAATGTTGCTGGAACTCTAAATGGTACCTGTATGTTTTGAATTTCCTCATTCAGAACATTTGCATTTTTCCCTTCTCTTCTAATCCTGCATCTTTTCTGTTGTTTACTTTGATTGTTCTTCTTCAGGAAACTTGCTGTACCTGAACCCATCTCTCCTTTCTCTGACCTCTTTGTTATCAGGATACAGAGTATATTCTTTTTCACCAGCTTAAGAGTAAGCTTCAAGATAGGGCATGGATTTCACACTTTTGTTTTATCACTTAATTGCAGGGCCTTGCATACAATTCATTTTCAGTAAGCATTTAAATTTATGTATCATAATTATAAGTTATAAGTTGATAAGTACACTATAATTGCTATTTAGTATAATGATTATATTAACTTAAAATAAAATTGATACTTAAATATAATGGTTTTGACTTGTTTAGGATCTTATCTCTGGACCGTCTTAAGAACTCTTTCAGTGGTTTTGCATCTGTAGCTTCTTTGTCTTTAGAGTTTGTACCAAACAATGAAAATCATCAGTTTTTAAGTATTATTTTGAATACATTGCCCTTTTCTCCTTAAAGAATCCTGTAGTGACTCCTGTTTTTTTTTATTTTTAACATTTGTGAACATTTTCAGATATACATAAATTAAAAGTTCAGTGACCCTCTGATGCTGTAGTCATCAACATTTCCCATACGTGCTTCACCTTGTGTCTACCCCTCTTTTCTGCTGAGAATTTTTATAGCATATCCAAGACATTATTTTATCCCTAAGCAATGTGTCTCTAAGACACATTTTCTTAACATGCCTGCAAAGCATTATCATATACAAAAAAACCTGGTAATAATTCCTTTATAGCACATGTGATACTTAGTCCATGTTCAAGTTTTTTCAGTTATCTAAAAAAGTTTTTTTTATGCTTGCTTTAATTGATTCATCAGAGGGTTCAGATGGTAACAGCCTGAACCCTTTGGAAGCCCCACTTTTCACCTAATGCTTTTACTATCCATTGATTACCATTACATGGATGAATTATTTACTTAAAAGTTACTAGATTGTGATTGGTCTAATTTGGTCACTTGTGCCATTATTAGCTGAATTATTTGTCTATGGAAGAACTTTCTCCTTATTCAGTAGGGCTGTTTGGCTAGCTTGAGATAGCTCATCAGTTCTTGAATTGTAATATCCCCCATTGGGGAACTGAAGACTCTGCTTTCTTCTTTAACTAAGAGTCTTCCTATTATTTCATTACGGCTTATGAGCAAGTGTTATTCGTTCTTCTTGAGGAAGTTAAAGTTATCCTTGAATGGTAGATTGGTGATTTTGTGGGTTACGTTATGGGGAGGGCCTCCCAGTCCTGAATGAGCAGTTCTAATTCTGTTGAGAAGTTGCAGCATGGGGACAAAGAAAAAGCCATATATACCTTTTTCACTGTTTGGCTCTGCAGTGAGGGTGTGGTACTCACTTGGGGTGTGGAAATTTTAAAAATTCCTCTACTTTACTAGATAATAAATCAAACTCAGTATAAAGGCATGTAAATTTAAAGACCTGTGGCCCTTAAAGGGCCTCAGCACAGATTTATGATCAAATCCATTAAATTAATAACTAGTATGTCATGAGGAGCAGCAAGGGACCCCTGAGATTTGCCAGGGATGCAACTAAAGTTCCTCTTGATAGCTTTCTATGAAGTCAAAACCTTAAAAGAGCTTTTGCTGTCTCACTAGAGGTAACTCACTGGGAAAGGGACCAGGGTGGGTCAGGTAGTCAGGTGAACTTTCTGTTATTATCAGTCAAACGTAAACTTCATTAACTGAAATTTCAGGTAGTAAAGGTGTACAAATTGCTGCTTTCTTTTTTGTGACCTTTCATTCATGCACTGAATCAGTTGTTCTTGCTGTTTTCTTTATACCTTTCACAGTTTGATTCTTACCTCTTTATCTTCCAGTTTTTTTTAGGGCAGTGACTGAAGTCTTTTCAAGTTTTTCACTGTGAATTGTTGCATGTCAAACTTGATGAGGTGTCCTAGTTGAAGTTTCGCCAATTAAAAAATTGGAGGTACAGATTGTATATCTGTGTGTCTGTGTATTTCTGTAGTTACAGCAGAGCAAAAATCTTTTTTGGAAACTAATGTGCATTGATGTTAACATGTTCGTTTACCCCGCCCCTTCATCCCCATCCCTTTTGTGCATTTAAAAGGATGTATAAAAGAAATAAAAGATTTTCAGGTGATCATGTGTTTAGATTTAGGCCCTAAATCAGGACCCTAAGCAAGTTCTTTGTGCAATTCATTTGCTATTAGAAACCTTACCAGCAGATGGAAGGGTAATTTAGCATTGTATTTGACTGAAAGGGGCTAATCCCACCCAGGTACCAGAACTCCAGTGGTTGGAGCAGGTGGAGCTTGAAAGTCCTGCCTCAAGGAGTAACTGGATATGTGTGCATATGCTGATCTCCAGCTTCCTAGTTTTTATTGTAATTTTTCTTACTCTCAGATCCATATTCAATAACTGAGTTGTTGTACAGGTGATAAATCTAGTATTATGAACAAATAAGCATACAGTTTTTTAAATTATATTATAGCATAATTCTTGCTTAGGGCCATTGGTATAGCTATCAAGAAAGACTATATAGCAGTATCAGCTTTGATTTCTAGTTAGTTTGTTTTTCTACCTTATAAAAATGTTCCCACTCTTTTTAACATCTGTTTCCTAGTATAATAACATGGGTAGGTATATGTTGTGAATTAAACACTGGACAAGATGTTATATGGCCTGTTGTATAATGAATTTTTAGCAAGTTTTTAAAGCCCCCTCTAGTCTTTAATTTCTTGCTCATACTTGAAGTTTGTTTTTTTTATTGAAGTGTTGTTATACACAAAATTATGTTGGTTTCAGATGTACATCACAGTGGTTCAGCAGTCCCCATGATCAACTTACATTATGATTGCAGAAATTCAATTTTTTGGTAATGTTTAAGATAAAGTGAGAAATTGAAAAATTAGAAAAAGTGATGCAAAGCACTAAAAATATAAAGTATAACCAGAGTTTGTTATTTTATCTCTGCTGTGGCTACAAAATGAGGTTGAGTCAGGAGAGTAATTAGAAACTTGTATCCATGATGTCTCTGATAGAAGCCAGTATTTGCCCTGAAATGATAAAGGTGACATTGAAATACTAGGTTTATTGAGAATGAAGAAGTAGTCCCCTCTTATCCATGGGAGATACATTTCAGGACCCCCAGTGGAATTCCTGAAATCCTGGATAGTACCAAATCCTATATATACTGTTTTTTCCTGTATGTACCTACCTATGATAAAGTTCAATTTACAAATTGGGCACAGTAAGAAATTAACAATAACAACTCTATGTAAAAGTAGAACAATTATAACAATATAGTTTAATAAAAGTTTTGTGAATGTGGTCTCTCTTCCTCTTGTGATTATATGAGATGATAAAATGTCTACTTGATGAGATGAAGCAAGATGAATGACACAGACATTGTGATGTAGTGTTGTTACTGTTGACCTTCTGACCATGTGTCAGGAGAACCATCTGCTTCCCGACCACAACTGACCAAGGGTGACTGAAACTATGGAAAGGAAACCTTGAATAAGTGGGACTACTAAATGCTTCTAAATGATAGAGAGAAAGAATGCTCATCTGTCAAGATAAGCCAATAAGGTTACTATTCTATAAATAAATTGCTTTCCATGGAACAAAAATGGGTTATAAAATAGTCAGCACTTTAAAAAAAGTTAAATACTATTTTGGTTATGCAGTTTTAAGTTTGATACATACTTGAGAGGCCTGGGCCTCAGCCTCTGAGTGGAATGGGGAACTCAGGATGGTAAGTCACAACCTGGTATGCTACAAACGCCTTAAGAAAACAAGCTGTGGACCGTATTTTTGTCTTTCTGAACTGCTTATTTCTTCTGTGGGGTAATGTAGAATTACTGTGGAAGATATTTGTGACTGAAAAGACAAGAAAATTAAAACTTCGATCTTACCTGGGAAAGAACCACCTGCCCTAAATGTGTGGTTTAGCGTCCTATCTGCTGTTACTTGAAGGCACCAGAAATCTTTGAGTTTTGGTCATTTTTCCACATTGAGTTGGGAAGTTAGCAAAAGGATTTTTATCTCCTCATTTTGTCAAGTTTCCAGACTACTGAAAAGAATATGCTTTCAGAGCTGGAAATGTAAATAAGATTCCTGTGCCAGGGCTCATAAACCATCTTGTGGTAATTTTTTAAGAATCTCAAATACATATTTAGAACAGTTTTAATTTTACAGGAAAATTATGAAGATAATGCAAATAATTCCCATATACCGTGCATGCAGTTTCCTGTATTATTAACAGCTTACATTAACATGGTAAATTTTCTAAAATCAATTAACGAATATAGAAACACTGTTATTAACTAAAATCCGTACTTTATTCAGATATCATTAGTTCTCACTGACTGTGTTTTTTCTGTTCTAGGACCCCGCCAGGACATCACATTACACTTAGCCTTAACCTCGTTAGGCTCCTCTTGGCTGTGGCAGTTTCTCAGACTTTCCTTGTTTTGATGATGTTGTCAATTTTGGGGGAGAACTGATCAGGTATTTTGTTGAATGTCACTCAATTGAGAGTTGTCTGACCTTTTTCTCATGGTTAGCCTGGGATTATGGGTTTTGGGGGAGAAAATTTTAGAGGGAACGTGTTGTTCTCAATGTTCTCTTCACATACCAAGGGTACATGCCATCAACATGATTGGTCACTGTTAATGTTGACTTTGGTCACCTGGCTGAGAAGGTGTTTGTCAGGTTTCTCCACTGTTTACTTTTTTTTTTTTAGACATCTTTCTTTACTGTGTTTTTTGGAAAGAAGTTACTGTGTGGAGTCCATACTTAATTAAGTGCTGGGAAGTTCTGCTCCATCTCCTTGAGGGTCTTCTACATAAATTATTGGGAATTCTTCTGCATGGGAGATTGTCTCTCTTCCCCATTTATTTATTAATTCATTTATTAATGCTGGGATGGGTTCATGGATATTTATTTTATACTTTGGGTCATAATCCAATACTACTTTATTTTGTTGCTCACCAGCTTTGGCCATTGGGAACTCTCTTGGTTGGCTCCTCTGTCACTTTGATATGCCCCCATCATCATGGGGGTGTTTTCTGAGCACTTCCTTACTTTCTGGCACTGTAAGATACTCCAGGCTCATCCCATATATCCTGCCCCACTTCTAGAATCAGCCATTTCTCCACAAAGCCTTGGTTCTTTTTATCAGAAAATGCTATTGGAAATCAAGGTCTGGGTGCTTGGTCTGTTTGTTGCTGTTGCTACTGGGATATTGTTATTTCTAGACCCTCTTAGCTGAAATACCTTGTGTGTACTATCTGTATGTTTATGTATATCCATAAATATTTCTGTATCTATTTCTATATATTTATCTGTATCAATATTAAGCTAAGCATGAGTTCATACTCCTGTCTCCATCTCTAATCCATTACCACATGGATCATTCTAGCCTTCTCCCCTTGCTTGTCTAGTAACTTCCCATTCTAGTAGTGAGAAACCAGGCTTCCACCATTCACCATCCTTTTACTTAATTGTTCAATCCCAGTGTAGATGTATATCACTTTTTAAAAATTGAAGTGTCATTGTTATACAGTATTATATTGGTTTCAAGTATACAACACAGTGGTTTAACAATTACTGATGTTATTATTATTATTAAAGTATTGTTGATATACAGTCTTATATTGATTTCAAATACACAACACAGTGGTTCAACAGTTATCCATATTATTAAATTCTCATCCCCTCTAGTGAAGTTACCATCTGTCAACATAGAATATCACTTTTGTTAACCTGATACCCCCATGGCTAACAATATTAGAATTGTTAACCTGTATCCTCATGGGAAACAACTATCTATTAGAGTACAGGGCTTATGTATAGGTCCGTTTGCCTTTATTCTTACACATTCCACTCATTTCCATAGTTACTTAGATTAGTGCCTTTCCCCCCATCCCCTGCTGTGATATGGTTTCTTACATTTATAATAGAGTTAGATGGTATTATATAGTCTCTATCCTTTCCTGGGATCCCCTGACCTATTAATGATATTTAAAAATTGGCTCCACAACCCATAGCTGTGACCATCTGTGCTTTAGTGTGGTGTTTCAAGGGTGTCTCAGGAGTTTGGCCACATTCTAGCCTAATTCTTTAAAATTAATTTAAATTTAAGCTTTAATTTTTATAGTTAAATTATAAGTTTATAAATTCAAAAGTTTATAAAGTAAACATTAAGGTTTGCTCTTTGTGTTATAAGGTTGTATGGGTTTTGATACAGGCATAATTTCATGTATGTATTTAGTGTCATGCAGAATAATATCACTGCCCTAAAAATCCCCTGTGTTTCACTTGTGAAACCTCCTTCATTCCCATGAACCCCTGGCAGTCACTGATCTTTTTACTGTCTCTATAGTTTTGCCTTTCCAGAATCTTCTTGAGCTATTACTTTATAAAGGAAACCTTTGATATCTCTAATCTAGATACCATTTTTTCCCTAACCGCCAACTTAGTATTCTTAATTGAACAAAATATTTCTAATAAGTGAGAATCAATTATTTTTTTATTATGTACCACTATATAAGGTCATTAGGCTTTGTTTATTTTTTAATATCCTACTTCTTTGTTACCAACCTCAGAATTGGGAGGAAATCCCCAGTACCTTTATTTTTATTTTTGTTGAGGAGGTTGGTGGGGAAGGCAGGGAATGGCATGTATGATATGTCCTGTAGAGTTGTCAGCTAGCAATCAGATACTTGGGAGTAGGTGTGTTCAGCTTAAATTTAATCTGAATATGCTTCTGTTTGTTTGGGGGGCTATATTTAAGGTGCAAATGCTTTTGATTGTTTTCTAGTATGCATATTGTTTTGCCACAGTATATTTCTTTTAAGAATAGAATATGAGATAGATGCAGTGAATATGTGACAATATCAAATTGGTTTCCCCTGTAATCAAAATCCTATGGGATGATTGTTTTATAACTTACTTGGAAGGCTCATTTAGGGGAAATAACTACCATTTCCCATCTCTCCCTTGTTTGGTTTCGTCTTTACATACATACATACATGTAAAATCCTGAACGGGAACCCATACCTCTACCAGTGAACAGTCATTTCCTATGCTGCTTGGTCAGCCGCTTCTTGTTGCTGTTTACCTTGAAAAATTGATAATCTCATACAAAAACCCTTGTTTTAAAAGCAGGTTTGGTTTAAACTTTACACTGTCTTTAAGAGTTGTGACATTGTCAGTGTTACCACATAGCCTGCAACATATGAGAAGAATGGTTAAGAACACAGACTTTAAGTTTGTATCCTAGCTTTGCTGCTTATTAGCCGTGTGACCACAGGCAAATTATTTACCCTCTTTGAGCCTCATGTTTCCTCATTTGTAAAATGTGAATGGTATTATTACCTCTCCCATGAGGTGATAGTGGAGATTAAAAACATGTAACACAGTGCCTGACCGTAGATATGGCTCAGTAAATACTATTTAGAACCAAAACCTCCCAACCAGCAAGAAAATGGATGAAAGTTCCAAATGTATATACTACTCTACATGTTTTTGTTTAACAGTTATTAGCTGTGCCAGACCAATCAGAAAAATGAGTGATTTCTTTATTTTTTAACCTTAAAAGTTCTCTCATGACAAGGCTCCTTGTTTTCAGACCTGAGAAATGCTCACTTCATCAAACTTAACATGCTAGCAGTGGTTGTCAGCTGGAGATACTGTGAACCTCTCTAAGTGCCACTTGGGAGTGCTGCTGGCATTTTACAGGAGGGACAGGATGCTGAACGCTTTTCTACACATGGGACAGGTTTGCATGATGACGAATTCCCGAATCCACAATTGCTGCATCAGTAACATACCATTGCCACACACTAGCCTGAACTGATACAGTGCTATCTTTAAACCTCTCTCTGGAACACATTTCAGGTGTCAGACCCAGCAAGCAAATATGTCAGTGAGTGAAGGCCTCAGTGTCTGGGGCATCCTGGGGAGTGTAGGCAGTAGGCAAGCTGGAGAGTATGTGTCTTTTCTGAAGGTGGCAGTGATACCTGAGCTTCAGCCAGTTGTGGCCTCCTTTTGCTAGATTTTCTGATATTTGAGAGAAAAGCTAGATATTCTGATTTTTATGTAAAATTTCTCTATTTTAAAGTGTGGCTCAACCTTTTTTTTTTTTTTTTAAACCACTGCTGAGGCCAAACCAAGTAGATCAGTGGGCTGGATTCAGCCTACAAACCATTGGTTTGTAACCTCTGCTATAGTTAATTTAGGAAGTGAGCTAAAATTCTGGCAGAGGTAAACACTCAGGGCCGTAACAGCTCTACCCTGCATATTTGCTGAGCTTAGAAAAAGCTGTGGAAAAGCTGTTAGGTGTCAAGGTCATTTTCTAGAGTGTGGAGAATTGCAGCATTGGAGCAGAACTCTGGGGGAGCTTCCTCTCTGGGAGGAGGAATTCTGTTGGGAGAAATCCCAATAGCTGCCTTTTCAGGGACAGAACTGACTGTCCCTTGTTGTGCTGGTGCTCCTGAATTAGGGGGGAGGCACACCCCTGGAGGAAGTCTCAGAATAATTCCACTGCTAAGCGTAGCATCTGGGCCCCCCTGGTCTCTACCTTGTCTTCAGAAATCAGGAGTCCCTGCAAAGGTGACAGGCAGTAAGTGTTCCACCCTGCAGAATCTCCTGGCCTATGTGGCTTTGGAACTGTGTGATGATTATGGGGTTTATTTCTTCAGTATTTCTTCTTCCTTGATCTGGGGTTACCACCTACACAGCTCCACAGTCCACAGCTGTGGTCTTCTGTGTTTTAGTGGAGGTGTATCAAGAGTATCTCAAGAGTTTGGTCAAGTCCACCTAGCCAGTACAGTTCAGATACTGCTTGAGTCCTCTGCTTGGTTTCATATATTTTGTAGTTAATATATAATTAATAGTTGTTGCATACGTTGTTGTATTTGGATGAGAATATGTCCAAATATGGACAAGATTGTATGATTTGATCTGTATCATATGCAAATCTGTAATATACCACATGACCGTGTTTCACTTCAGTTGTATTCCATGGGATTAAATGCCAACCATGTGTAGCACTTTGCTGTGAAACTTTGAGTGTCTTTAAGGAAGCAGGCTCATCTTACTGGCTGGAATATTTTCTGTTTGTAAACCAGGTGTTAGATTGACCTCCCAGTTAGCAAAAATTGGTTTTTTAAAAGAAATATTTTAACTTTTTAATTTTCAAGAAATTATGAAATTTGAGTGTTATGTGTTGTGAAATACTTAATGAATTTCCACATCACTCAGTGCTTATGTGAGTGAATGTACACAGCAGAGTGCTAACCACTATGAAGATTGTGTACATAATCCCTTAAGGGGAATACACCTTTATCAGTTTAGACTACTTGTTATGAAAAGTGGGTCTACTATTAATCATCTTTTCAAATGGTAGCCATCTTTGTGGGTATGTAAGTCATTGATTTTCATTTCAAAGATGTTTTTTAATATGCTTTTTCAGAGGCATGTATTTGTAACCATTCAAAAAAAGGGGGCAATTTACTCCCTTTATTTCTGCTGCTTATATGTCCTAAAACATCTTGTTTGTACAAGGATTCTTTCCTCCCCTCTTAACGTTCTACCTCCCACACAGATGTGGCCTACTATTTGAATGATAAACTGACGAGGGTTTGATCTTTTTTACCCCAGCCAAAGAAGGGCACTCAGCATCACTTTACTGGGCATGTCTTTGACACCTACCAGCGACAAAGTAGAAAGAACACAGACCCTGGAGAAGGCAGGCTTGGATTTGAGTCACAATTCTGCCATATATGCATTTTCTGAGTTTGTTTTTTATTTGTCAAATGGAGATAATCAGAGCTACTTTTCAGGGCTTAGTAAATGGTAGCTGATAATAACAGTGATGAAATAAATGATAACTTTGGCTTCGGTAGCACGTGAAGTTCTAAAGGCTGACAAAGCTGGCTGAAAGCTAGCAGCTCCCGAGAGCTCTGAAGGGTATGTTTGGAACCCAAGCTCTTGACACCTCACAAACCTCTTCGTTCTTGTTGACCCTTGTCACATTTTCTTCTTCATCATAAAAAGACAACTATATTGCTCTTATATTTTAAAGACTTGAAATTAGGCTTGGGAATTGAATAAAACTTTTTTGTAACTACTAGGAAAAGTTCAGGTTAAGCCTTTGGGTGCTTCAGAAGCTTTTTACTGATGACAGTTAAATAGTCATCAAGGGTTCTGAATGTGGTTAGCCCCTCAAATATTGAGGAGTCATCTCCTAGTGGGAGAACTGTTACCATTTCTGTAAACACAAGCAGATTTGATTACCAAAGGTTATTCACCATTAAATCCAATGAATTCCATTTTTTTCATTTTGCCTAACAAATATTCATTGAACACCTAGTCTGTGTTAGGCCTAGTCATTTGTATACCCTCAAGGGATATACTGAACTATGGAGTCTAAGAGTTGCAGGTATTAGCCTGTCACTTGAATGAAAATCCTAAAGCCTTAGAGCTGTGCTCAGGTCCAGTAAGGTAACCGCTACTAACTACAGGTGACTGCTGAGCACTTAATATGTGGCCAGTTTGAATTGAGATACACTCTAAGTATAAAGTACACATTGGATTTCAAGGACTGGGTTTGAAAAAATGTATGTAAAATCTTATCAATGGTTTTTATAATGATAACACTAAAATGATAGAAATGCACTCCCTCTATGTTTATCAGGTGGTTTCTACTGTAAGCAGAAGCCTTTCCATCTCCACTTATGTATATGTGCATTTAACTATTAATGTGGGCTTAGAGTTCCTCTCTTCTACAGGCCTATTATTTATTACTGTCCTTAATTATTTTGGTGTTCAAATTGTCACAGATTTGGCCAGTGGGAGCCTCCTTAGAAGCAGCTTATTTCCAGATCCTATGACAAGCTCCCATCATTTTTTGAGCACTTCTCCATTCTCTGGGATAATAGCGCATTCTAGGTGGAGTGGCAGCTTTAAGTGAAAGACCTAGAGATATACAAGGTGGCTTCAGTATAGGGTGTTGGTGCTCCTTGAGGGTAAGCCCAGCCTGCTGTGTTCTTCTAGTTCCTCTGGTAGAGGAGAGGCATGGAGGCAAGATTAAAGGAAGGAGGAGTGTGGTGAAAGCCTCCCCAGAGGAGGTGCCACCAGCGCCAACACGCATAGGATCGTTACGGCTTGCAGAAGCAGGGGGAAGGGAGGAAGATATAAAAGTATGTCAGGCAGATGGATGATCGTGGGCGCCCTCAGGGGAGATGGCACAGGATATGCACACACAGAATCACACATAGCTCTGTTCAGTTGGAGTGCAGGGAGTGGAAGGAACACGGTCAGATATACATCTTAGAAAACAGACACACTGTGATATGGAGGAAAGCAAGACCAGAGGCAGGAAGAACAATAGAAAGTTCTGGCTGTAAAGTTGATGAGAAAATACTCAGAAATGCCTTGAATAATAGTAACTAACAGTTTCTGACTTACTACTGTTTGCCATTTAAATTTTACTACAACCCTAGTGTTAACTTCCGTTTTACAGATGACATTTCAAAGGTATAAGGATCATCTTTCCAGGAGACTAATAAATGGTAGAACCAGGCTGCAAACCATGACTCACTTCATTTCGCACTCAGTTTAGTTGGTTGTGTAAGAACAGGAAGTGAAGAATCATACACTTGGGTCTAGTTTTGTTAACTGAGTGAATATGAGTAGCGATAATATTCACGGAGAGAAAAGAGCATATTTGGGGAAGGGCTGTGGCGAGGAGTACCTTTTTGGACATAATGACTGATATTGTTGGGCATATCCAGATGGTACTGTGTAGTAGGCATTTGTCTATATGTGTCAAGTCTTGGCAAGAGCATGGTGCTTAAGATAACAATGTGGGGATCATCGGCCTTAAATGTTATGAAACCTTAGTAGTAGATGTAATCATGTACAAAAGGATGTAGAATGGGAAGAGGAGGCATTTTAGGGTAAAAACATTAATGTGACAAGATTGGTGGGAAGAAACCAGGTTAGTGTCAAAAAAGGAAAGAGGGATCAGTAGTTATCAGATGTTGCAGAGGTCAAGGGGCATAGGGACCGGAAGATAGATGCTCTGGATTTAGTAGCAGGGAGATGGTGGAGACAGTATTTCAGTGAAACAGTGATATGAGCAGATTAAAGCAGACTAAGGAATGAATTGCAGGAAACAGAGTATCCAGAAAACCCATAAATGTGCAGATTGGAAAGTGTCTATATTCTTCTCCCACATTAAAATTTTTCCTCATGTTTGTTAGACCTCTTCCGTGTTGATGGTTAGAAGTCATTAAAGCAGTCCCTAATAGCTCTTTTTAGCTGTGGCTAGGCTGAGTGTTAAAGTAGGTTCTTTGTGGCCACCTTGTAGACACAAAGAATATAAATAACTTTTGACAGTCTTGGCTTGGCAAGAAGAGAGCTAGATGTATTATGTAATACATAGTATTTTTTTTTAACAGTCTACTTCATTGAAAACCAGCAAAAGTAATTACTTTCCTTAAACATTTTTTATTTTCAAAATATTCTCTGTAGTTCTCTGCATTGCCCCAAGTATGGCATGATTTAAAGTGTCAGGGCCTATTTGCAAGAAATAAAAGATTTGGTGTGGGATGACCCTCCCTTACAGATATGGTTTAGACTTGTATCTTCTAATCATACTTCCCATGCCTCCTATGAGGATGCAAGTGTTTACTTCTCATTCTTAAAAATATTTGACCAGTGTGTGAATACAGCGAGAGATATTACGAGATTGTATGGCATACGCTCTACATTTTTCCCCTTTTAAAGATGGGAAATATATATCAAAAAGTAGATCAGTTAATTGGCCCTTATGCTGCCAGTTGATTTATGACTTCATCATTACCTCACTAGTTGCCTTATTTACCTAGGTGCTTAACTCAACTAACAGTGAGATTGGGGTTCGGTTCCCTCTTCCCAAAGTGTACTCCCAAATCCTGCCATCTTAGCACCTGTGCCAATGGCACCAGAAGTAGGTGAAAGCCTAGCTGGGCAGGTCTGGCTAATTATGGACCACCAGCATCATCTTTGAAAACAAAGGATTCTAAATCTCTATTTTTGTTTGCCCAGCTATTTGATTTACACATTAGATTTCCTTTATTCAGACTTCAAATTCAAACTTTTCATCTTCAAAGTACAGGGAGAATGTGAGGCAAACAGGGCAAGTGTGCTTTGTGTGTAATTATCAAGTCCTTTTTCCCTTATTTTATTATTGCGGACATCAAAATGATTACTCTGCTTTAGAACAGTGATGGGAAAACATGAGTGATTATACTTTAGTAGATTCTCAAGACTAGAAAAATACGGTTGCCCAGTAATAATACTCTGCATTTTTAATCTAGCTGCTGCTTTTTTTTTAAGTATTAAAATGGAACTGAAGTTGTATGTTTTTTTGTTGTCTTTAAAGTAAGTAATTGGTTATATTGTATCAGAAAAGTCTTTGGCTTAGTTAAATTTGTCAGTTTTACAACTTCAAAATTAGGTATACTTATTTTAGGTCTCTGTTTTAATGTATTGATTTCTGTTTGAATAAAGTGAAATGTGTAATTACATTTAACCATACTTTAATTTATTTTACTAGAAAATGACTGCAGTGTTGGAAGATCATTACTATTGGAAGGCCGGTTAGCATCTATTTCCTAAGAGGAACTTGACCACCATTTGTTCTGGCATGGCGCAGAGCAGTCCACAGCTTGATATGCAGGTTCTCCATGACCTCCGACAACGCTTCCCTGAGATTCCAGAGGCTGTGGTGTCTCAATGCATGTTACAGGTAGATGGCCCACCAATGCTAGTGATATTTAAGCTACAGTTTTCCTTACTAGAGCTGGCTTTGTGTTGTAGTGGCTAGAACTCTGTTAAGTTTTCTTGTGTATGTTGGTGGAGGGTTACATGTACAGCAGGATTTCTCAACCTTGGTGTTGCTTATGCTTTGGGGTGGATAATCTTTGTTGTCGGGGTCTACCTTGTGCACTGTAGGGGGTTGAGCAGCATCCTTGGCCTCTACCATTAGATGCCAGTAATATCCCTGCAGTTCTGACAACCAAAAATGTCTCCAGATGTTGCCAAATGTCCCACAAGAGGTTAACTGTCCCCCATTGAGACCCACTGATACAGGAGAAAGAGTAAAGGCATGTAACAAAAGAAAAAAATAACCTCTTCACATCCTACTTAAGTTTTTTGGGTTATGTCATTAGTCCCCAAATCCTTAGAATTGAATTTTGGCTCTTAAATTTGTCACTGTAACTTCTTAGACTGTATGCTTTCAAGATTATTTTTAAAAGTCTGTGGAATCCACTCCCTTTCTAATTGTTTTTCTCTTTGGTAAATGCTCACTAATATCTAATTTTAAGTGTAAGGCCCCTTCATTTAGTTTAATCATATTCCTTTTTTCTTGTTGCCTTCTATTAAAGTAAATCTTTCATCTCTGATAGAATGAGTCATCGCTGATAGAATGAGTCTTCTCACTCAAGGGGCAACAGAGAAATAGACCTCACACTCCCCTGATTGAATTTTGCATTGTCGTTCACAGGAGGATCTCAGTGTGTTTCGGGTTATAGCATTTCCCCATTTGGTTGACTTTTGAGAGCAGGACTTCTGTTTTGACCACTGGACCTCGTGACACACAAAATCAGTTCAAACTCTACCTTACTGCAGTGTGAGCAGCTAGGGATTTAACCCAACCCTATACAGTTGAGATTAATCACAAATAGAGACTCACAGAACAGTGGTGATAACAGAGGTGCTTACTTTGTTTGCAAGCCCTTCTATTAGGTGTAGACCTTTGAGCTAATATTTTTTGTGTTATTGCTGCCTTTGTTTTTTCTAACACACATTTCCAGTCTGAATTTCTGCTCTTTAGCCCCATTTTTGTCTCTGGTAGAGCAAAGGTATATCCCATTGGATTGAAACCAAGTATGAGTGAGGCTTTTAAGTTTCTAAAACCATTTCCAAACAGTCATCTTCTTCACTTATCCCAGCTGCCCCCTGCCCCCACTTAGGACCTTGGTGTTCTTTTGTTTGTTTTTTAAATTGAATTTTAATTAGCCTTTCGTTACCTATATTCACCTTTTTCATGGCTTAGTGTCTTCATCTCACTAAACTGTAGGAGTAGAACTTTAAATTCAACCTAGTGAACATTTGGTGACTTACATTGTTACATGTCTTTTTCTTCTTTGTTCCTTGTGATTAATAGAGTTTATCAGTATAGAGACTTACCACCTACTGGCTCTGAAAGTTTCTCTGTTTACATTCAAATATATGAGACTCAGTAGTTTGCATTTACTGCACAAGTCTTAAGCCCTCTCTCTGGGCTATCATCCTTCAATTCAGGATCCCTTTTTAAGCATATGATGCTTTTTGCCTTTCAAGAGTGTTCATCATACGTGTCTTAAAAATTCTGACCTCTTTATCCAACTAAATAATTTTGATTTCTTTTAACTGTTCTTCACATTTACTGTTTGATAAATTTTTTAATGCATTTTTTTTGTTTCCTGTTTGAGACATGTAGCAGGTCAGATATGACATTTCAGTCTTTTCTGGTGGTATTTAAAAAAAATTCCTCTGTAAAGATAATACTTAAATATCTTGTATTTATGCTTTAAAATTTTTCTTCATAGGAAAATTTACTAAACTTGTCACTGTAGATATGCATTTGAATAGGCTGACAAATACAACTTTGTGTCATTTTGAATTTGGATCCTTTTTGTAACAATACTAATTAAAGTACATAATTCAGTGTAGAAAACATGAAAATTCAGGATCATGAATAAAAATGTCAAATAGTAAAGTGTCCATGACTACTTTAGGATCCAGATAAAACTCTAGTTTTTGTTCTCACCTTATTCCATAGGTTTATGAAAAACTTGAAGGAGAGACTTGATTTCACTTTTCACATATTTTTCCTTCAGTTATCTGTGGCATTTTCTAGTTGGCAGTTTGAATTCTTTGGTTCCAAGTTTGCTTAATATCTAGCTTCTCTCCTTTGATCAACATGAATTTCAGTTAAGATCAGAAGAAACCCAAACTTTGAGTTCTAATTACTTTCTTCTTAAATTTTAACAATTACTTTTTCTAAGGCTCATAAAATATTTTTTAAAGTATTTGAAGTTTTGTATCAAAAGCTTTATATTAGGAAAAAGATAGGAGTTATCTATCAAGTTTTGATAAAGCCAGGTTTTTTAATTTCTGAGAATTCGTTTTGCATCACTTCTTGAAGCTTCAATATAGTAGTGTACTTCTGGCCTAATATCCTCTCCCTTGAAATTACTGTGTTTTACAGTAGAAAGAGCCCTCGGAGCCAGGAGACCAAGAATCTAGAACTCGCTTTCCAGTTAACTAGTTAAGTGCTTGATGTCAAGCTATGTAACTTCCCAGGCATTTCTTTTGTCATCTGTAAATTAATTGAGTTAGAGTAGATGAACCCTAAGAGTTCTCCCAGCTCTAAAATTGTGGCATTGTATGTCCTGTTTTAGATTTAACCTTACTTGGTTCTCAGTAGAAGTGGAGTCATTTCTTTGATTTTTACATAAAATGTACTTTTCCCTAAAATATATGTAGTAGTATGTATGTATGTGCATATCTGTATGTTTCTTTATGAACTACAGAGAAGGGCCACTGTAATTGAGAAACTTAAGTAGATTATTTCAAAGGCAATGACTAATAGTGTTTCAGGCTAACAAAATAGTTCTGAATTCTACATTTTAATGGAAAACTACCTTATAATATCTTAAAATTGAAAAAAGAGGGAATCTTTTACTAGTTTGACTACTGTCAATTGGAATGCCTAAAATAGCTTGCTATTACTGTCTTTGTGTGTGTATGTAAAACTTTAAAAATTCAAATACTTAAATGATTTTGAAAACTTATTAAGCTACCTTTCAGAGGGTAAAAAAACTTTTGAGACTGGGCATATGGTGAATTTCATAAAGGCAGTCGATAGCTGGTTTTGTGTGAAATTACCACAATTCTGACAAAGTCATGGAACCACAGTTCAGAAAGTCACTTGTTTCTTACTGACTTTGTTGTGTAGTTTAATATTCATAATGATACAGACAGTTGAAGTTATTTAGGAATAAACTTGGTTCAAAGAAGATAGAGGTGCTTTAGAAATTTTATTGTTTTGACTAGGAATCTTATAGTTTTTTTTTCTCCTTTTGTGGTTTCAGTGCCTTTGGAAAACTGAAGCATGATTGTTTTCATGTTTATCAGTTTAATTATTAGTGATAGATATTACTTATACTTGTATATTGCAGCCATTGTGAAGATTAGGCCTATGTTTTAATTTGTTGAGATGCAACAAGTATAAACTGAGTCCTGGAGTCAGAAAACTTGGAGTTGAGTCACAGTGTTCATTAGTAGGTACTTTACATTTCTGTAGCAGTAACAGTAGTCATGTGAGTCAAATGTCTGTAAAATAATATGAATCATTTCAGATCTCCTTTTCAGTATAGATGACCATGAAGCTTTTTGTGCTTAAAATACTATTCTCTACTTATTCTGTGGCACTCATATTTGCATAACTCTCTGGCAAAACTTGACTTCCACTGTTAGGATTTGTTAATTTTGCCAATGTTATTTTTACATTTTTCTCTCCTAGAATCACAACAATCTTGAAGCCTGTTGCCGAGCTCTTTCCCAGGAGAGTAGCAAATACTTATATATGGAATACCATAGTCCAGATGACAACAGGATGAATAGAAATCGCCTTTTGCATATTAATCTGGGTATCCATTCTCCTGGTAGCTACCACCCAGGAGATGCAGCACAACTTAATGGTGCTCGAACACTGGTACATAGCTCAAGTGATGGACATATTGATCCACAGCAGGCAGCAGGTAAACAACTGATATGTTTAGTTCAGGAACCACACTCAGCTCCAGCTGTTGTGGCAGCAACTCCCAACTACAATCCATTTTTTATGAATGAACAGAACAGAAGTGCAGCTACTCCTCCTTCACAGCCACCTCAACAGCCATCTTCCATGCAAACAGGAATGAATCCATCTGCTATGCAAGGGCCTTCACCACCGCCGCCTCCACCTCCTTCATACGTGCACATACCTCGGTATAGTATAAATCCAATTACTGTTACAGTATCCCAAAAGTCTGGACAGACTGTACCAAGAGCTTTACATATTCTTCCACAAATTCCAAGCAATCTCTATGGGTCTCCCGGTTCTATTTATATTAGACAGACATCTCAGAGTTCATCAGGAAGACCAACTCCTCAGAGTACGCCATGGCAGTCCTCACCACAGGGCCCAGTGCCTCATTATAGCCAACGTCCTTTACCTGTGTATCCACATCAACAGAACTATCAACCTTCTCAGTATTCTCCCAAACAACAGCAGATCCCTCAACCTGCGTACCATTCACCACCTCCTTCTCAGTGTCCTTCACCCTTTAGCTCTCCACAGCATCAGGTGCAACCTTCCCAGTTGGGCCACCCAAGTTCCCATGTCTTTGTGCCTCCTAGTCCTTCAACTACTCCACCCCATCCGTATCAACAAGGACCTCCTAGCTATCAGAAACAGGGAAGCCATTCAGTAGCCTATCTCCCATACACAACATCTGGCTTGCCCAAAGGATCCATGAAGAAGATAGAAATAACAGTTGAACCCTCTCAAAGACCTGGGACAGCAATGAATAGGAGTCCTTCACCTATCGGTAATCAGCCGTCTCCACGGAGTCAGCACTCACTGTACACAGCCACCACACCACCTTCAAGTTCTCCTTCAAGAGGAATATCCAGTCAACCAAAACCCCCATTTGGTGTTAATCCTGTGTATATTACATATACACAGCCAACTGGACCTTCATGCGCTCCTTCACCATCTCCTCGGGTGATACCAAACCCAACTACGGTTTTTAAAATTACTGTAGGCCGAGCAACAACTGAAAATCTTTTAAATTTAGTGGACCAAGAAGAGCGTTCTGCAGCCCCAGAACCTATTCAGCCCATTTCAGTGATACCAGGCTCTGGGGGAGAAAAGGGAAGCCTTAAATATCAGAGGAGTTCTAGTTCTGGATCGGATGACTATGCGTATACACAAGGTAATTTGAGCCCTTTTATGAAACTGAATACTTGTGATGAGGGTAGCAAGCTCCTATTCAAATAAAATAATATTAGCTATTTAGTTTAAATGTTAAGTGTTTATTAAATATTGGGCAATAGCATTGCTGTTGAGAATAGGGTTAGTGCTTCAGAGTCATCTACAGACTCTCAAATACGAAAATGTAGGCATGATAAAAGTGACCTGTTAAGATTTTTTTTTTAGGAAGAACATTTATTGGGAGAAAAATATAGACATGTGAATTGATATCAAAAATACAAAATGCAGATTGGGAAAAAGAGTCATAGAGGGTAGACTAAAGGTCATCAAGGTGGGAGAATTTGAAACTTTTCTAAACAGGATGGTGTGAAGAGTTTAATGGTATTTTAAGTAATATATACTTAACAAGAAGTTGAATTGGTAATGAAGAACATTGTTGAATTAGCTAATAGTTGACCTAATTAAATATAAAGGAGACTAGAATTCTTTAAAAGTATCTGAGAATTTAGTATTCTTGGGAAATAATTATGATTGTAATTCAGTATGCCTGGTATTCAGCCTGTTTAAAACACATACAGGTTAAAGTTAAAGAGAATCTTAGGAAAACTAAGGACAACAGAATAAAGAGGGATGTATAGGTTATATCATTTCAGCAGCAGTTGCAAGAGCTAAATTAAGGCAGATATGGATAAGGCAGAATAACATTGGAAAGACATGAATAAATGCCAGCTCAAGATGGTTAATGGGGGTCCTTATGAGTATTTTATACATTCGTAATGCATATAGAAATTTCCTGGTCATTTGTTCAGTGTTATTCTCTGCAATGACTTTATCTGTAATGCTGTATAGCTTTGCTGTTACATCAGCGAGCAAGGATGGAGAGGTTAGCAAAGCAATTGAAACTTGAGAAAGAGGAGCTAGAGCGGTTGAAGGCTGAAGTTAACAGTATGGAGCATGACTTGATGCAGAGACGGCTCAGAAGGGTCAGCTGCACCACTGCAATCCCCACGGTAAGTGAGCTGTTGGGATGTGTGGATAGGAAGGTGGGGACGTTGGCTGTTCGGGTCATTTGTTTTTCTTTTAGGTTCTATCCCTGGCAGAGTATTTTTGTTTTGGTATTTTAAACAGTAGATGAAGAACTTTTACCTTCAGTAGTTCTCATCAAAAGGATTTGATGCTTTATTTTTTTTACATGTATGAATTCCATAGGTTCATCAGTATTTTCAAATAACTGACAGTTATATTCAAGGTACAGCGTCTCATTTACTATTAATTGCTTTCTGTGAAAATAGAAATGAAAAGTTTACCATGACCAAGTATATACATTACAATTCTCAATGTTCATTTATTCTTCTAAGCATAGTGTGTGTGTGTGTGTGCGCACATTTCAAAGATTTAAAAATTGCTTTTTTAAGTATGTACATTCAGATGAGTTAGAACAAGATCTGTATGAATTTTTAGAAAGTGTTGACTGTAGGATATTTTAAGAGCAATTTTGTTAAATGTAAATAATTGTAGCAACTAAGATGATAGTATTGACAGTGATCTTAACACGAACTGTGCTAATGAAAACATTGCGATAACATTTTTTTTTTTTGTAGGAGAGCAAGGTACAGGCTTTTATTTAGAGATAAAGTGAAAGAAAGGACAGAGCTCCTGGCTTACGCCAGGAGGGGACAAGAGAGTCCTGGGATAACATTTTTAAAGTAGTGTTGGTTAATATTTAATGAGTTCTAAATATCTTAAACAATTCTGAAAATTTTGAAACAAGTCTCCTAAAATCTTGTGACATCACACATTTTTTATGGCCCAACCTGTCATTTTACCTACCTTTCAATGAATGTATTCAACAAGCACTTTTTTACAGTTGATGAATGTGGTCCTATGTTAGGTGCTTAGTGGGTGCCTACTAGTGGGAGAAATAGATCCCTCAACAGATAACTTTAATAGTGTGGTAGGTGCTGTTTATGCTCACAGGTAGTGAGAGAACTCATACATCAAGTAGTTTCTGCATATACTCAATGCACTTCTCTGCTCTCTCATATTATCCTCCTCCTGGAATGCCCCTCTAAAGCTCTGCATGTATAAATCCTGTATGTTCTTCAGGGCTCATCTTAACCCCTGTTCTTTCCACCGAGCCATTTCTTATTTTCCCACCCTCTCTAAGCTGAGGGTAATCTCTGAGTTTACAAATTGAGAGAAGTGGTCATGTATGTCAGGCCTTTTGCAGATAGCATTTCTGCAGCTATGCTTTCATACAGAAGTTTTTAACTGAGATTTCATGGCTGCAAGGAGATCTGTGTATCCTCAAAGTTATATGCAAAGTATCATGTGTGTTTATATGGAGGTGGGTCTAGGGCTTTCATCTGATTTTCATAGGCTGTTAGATTGAAGGAAAAAAGGGTGAGGAACCACTCCCCTAAACAGTATTGCTATAGAGGCAGAGAGGAAAGGGGAAGGCCTTGTAGAAGGGAAAAGAACATGAGGTAACAAAGGCTTGAATTCAAGATAAAGACTGACTTTCTTTCACGAGGCAGCAAATTCAGTTTCCTTAACGTGCAATTTCTGATGTCTTAACAGGGTGGTGTGCATAGGTGGAATGGGACTTTAGATCTTGATGTTAAGGTGTTTGAACTTTCTTCTGCAGTAAAGGGGAACCAGTGTAAGTTTTTGAGGAGATTAATAAGCAGGCATATTTAATAATGTAATGAAATTTTTTCTAATATGGACTAACTCCCTATGTTTGGTCAATATTAGAAGTGAGAAGGGAGAGTTTTACTTAAAACAGTTGGAGAATTACAAAGCTATCTTTAACTGAAAGGTGATATTAATGTAAATCAAATTTTTGCCTTTTTCTCCACTTGAAATCTTAATTGAATCCTCTGATTGGGGAGATACTGAAGAACATGAATTCTAAACATCTTAATTCTGAAAATTTTGAAACAAGTCTCCTAAAATTTTGTGACATCACAAGCTTTTTATGGTCTAAACTGTTATTTTACCTTTCACATTCATTGTATTCAACAAGCATTTTTTACAGTTGATGAATGTGGCCCTATTCTAGGTGGTTGGGTACGTTGAAGTCCTTTAGGTACTTGTAGAGCATAAACAAATTTTCTTAGCATTTAAGTCATTTTCCCTAACATAATCATATAAGTTTGTTTAGCAGCATTTTGCTGTGTGATAATCCCTGCTGAAGAAAACCCTGTTGATTTTGTTGATGTTGGAAGTAGGGAACTATCTAATGTAACGTAGGTTAGTGCTTCAAAAAAAGAAAACACCTAGATTTTAGATAAGCGCTTTTATTGATGAAGCTTTTTTAGAAAAAGAGGGAAGTTATTAAATTACAGCCCAGGGCAGCCATTTCATTTTTAACTTTTTATTATAATTTCAAAGGTATATAAAATAGGCAGGATAGTGTAATGAACCTCCATGTAGCCATCACCCAGCTTCAGAAATTGGTAGCTCATGTGGGTGATGATATTTGAGAGATGAGAAATTTGAGTATGTGCTTCCTATGTCTTTCTACTGCTGGGCCTAGAGTAAAATGGAGAACTCTTAGAATGCATGGCTAAGGCACAAGTATGCACGATGGTTCAGACAGTGGGCTCTCAATTCATGTGTGAATTTGAATCTTATGCTACTTATGTGTCACTCATATCCTTGGATAAGTTGGCTTTCTCTATGCTAGTGTCCTTACTTATAATAGGTGTGAATACCCTTCTCATGGGATTTTTGTTAGGATGAATAACATACATTAAACAGTATATGCAATGTCCAATAAATAGTAAGTATTCTTATAAAGGTTGGTTGTAAGACACTGGAAAAATCTGCTTGAGATAAGTAACACATAAACAAATCTGAAGCATTTTGCAAAACTTTGTTTTTAACTTTAGGAACATGTATAACATAAGGGTAAATTATGTAGGAGATTAACCAAGAAATAAAGCATTCAGTCACAATTCCCTTTCTGTTCAGAGACTTATTTGAGGTGCCATGAATTGTTGAAGGAGTTCCTACATAGGCTGTGGAGACAGAACAGCTGTGGCATTCGGTGCTATATCTAACTTCTTTGCATTTGATTTTCTCTATTTATAAAAGGGAATTATAACAAGTACATTTTAGTGTCAAGATGATAAAGGGACAGGGTTGTAAAGTGCCTGTTGTGGAGTAGATGGCTTAGTAAATGGTTAGTGTTGTCCTCCTCCTGTGTAGGTTATGTAATAAAGAATTGACTTTTTGGCTACTAAGCACACACTGCTACCTTCAAGTTTTCATACAGATTAATTTCTCATCAAGCAGTATATAAAGAATTGGTTAGAAATGCTTGTGCCTAATGAGAGTGGAACACACATTTGTGACTATATGTGCAGTTGCAGAAGCTTAGAGGAGCAGTGAGATCATCTTTCGAGGAAGGCAGAAGTGCATTGCGGCCATCATTTTTCTCAATGTGCTGTTCTTAAAGCATTGTGTTAAATGCTGTGGAAGATGCCATCTCAAAGGTGGAAAGATATATGTACATCTGTCTGTGAACCTGTATGTATTTGTGTGTGTGTGAGAGAGACTAAAAGAATGTAAGACAGTAGATCAGAAGCTTGCCAGCTAAATGGTAATAATATTAAGTACTTTGAGAGTTCTGAGCTAGAAATGTTACCGTATTACTAGTAGGGTTCATAAGTGAGCCAGCCTCATGGAAGAGGGGGAAATTGGATTTTAGTAAGCAGAGGGCTGTCAATTACCCCTAAGCCAAGGTTTTCCTCCCATTTGTCTTGTTCTGATTAATTGGGTTTTTGGACTAACTCACAGCTTTGAGTCCCAGATGTGTAATTGGGGTCATGCAACAAAAGAACATCACTGGTCTTCATCCTTGGTCTCCATGAGACAACTTTTTTTTTTTTTTGAGGAACATTATGTTTGCTAGACTCCCCCTATCACCAAGTCCCTCCCACAAACCCCATTACAGTCACTGTCCATCAGTGTAGTAAGATGCTGTAGAATCACTGCTTGTCTTCTCTGTGTTGCTGCACAGCCCTCCCCGTGCCCCCCCCCACATTATATATGCTATATGTGATGCCCCCTTTCTTCCCCCTTCTTTTCCCACCCATCCTCCCCAGTCCCTTTCCCTTTGGTAATTGTTAGTCCCTTCTTGGGTTCTGTGTTTCTGCTGCTGTTTTGTTCCTTCAGTTTTTTCTTTGTTCTTACACTCCACATATGAGTGAAATCATTTGGTATTTGCCTTTCTCTGCCTGGCTTATTTCACTGAGCATAATACCCTCTAGCTCCATCCATGTTGTTGCAAATGGTAGGATTTGTTTTCTTCTTATGGCTGAGTAATATTCCATTGTGTATATGTACCACATCTTCTTTATCCATTCATCTACTGATGGACATGTAGGTTGCTTCCATTTCTTGGTTATTGTAAATAGTGCTGCAATAAGCATAAGGGTGCATCTGTCTTTTTCAAACTGGGCTGCTGCATTCTTAGGGTAAATTCCTAGAAGTGGAATTCCTGGGTCAAATGGTATTTCTGTTTTGAGCTTTTTGAGGAACCTCTATACCGCTTTCCACAATGGCTGAACTAATTTACATTCCCACCAGCAGTGTAGGAGGGTTCCCCTTTCTCCACATCCTCGCCAACGTTTGTTGTTGTTTGTCTTTTGGATGGTGGCGATCCTAACTGGTGTGAAGTGATATCTCATTGTGGTTTTAATTTGCATTTCTCTGATGACTAGTGATGTGGAGCATCTTTTCATGTGTCTGTTGGCCATCTGAATTTCGTGAGACAACTTTTTTAAAGTGCCAAAATAGTTGATTTAAGGTATTCTTCCCAACTTTAAAAAAAAAAGCTTAGAATTTCCACTTTGAAATGTCACATATTCTTACAATGACTTACAGCCAATCTTGAAAACCCACATCCATGCAAATACAGTGTACTTTTTAACAAATGGTAGTAGCTTTCAGAGACAGCTATTTTCCCTACTGAATTTAATCAGAAGCTGTGAAAAAGGATATAGGTATCTTACAGGTAAACTTTTAGTGAGTTACAGTGGTTCTACTGTCTTTGGAAGTGAACATATTGACTAGAGCTTGTTTTGTTGATACAAGCAAATGTGCAGTAGCCTCTTGGCTCTACAGTATCCTATTATACTTCCATAGTTACAGAGCTTCACTATTCAGGGCCACTGTGGGTGACACCCCCCCCCCCACACACACACACAATAAATAGTCAGTGATCAGGTCCTTCAGGTACTTGACTTTCTCAGTATGATTCTAGAAAGAAAAGAATAGGGTTGTTTTGTTTTTACTTTGTGTTTACACATTCCTTGAAAGACAGCATCACTCTTTGAAACCCCTGAACAAGTGCTTTGTCTTTAAATGCTCATGTATGTTTTAAACTCTTTTAATATTGTCTGGTAGTCAAAGTGTAAGCATTTTGCATGTTAATGTCACATGGTTTACCCATAGCAATCAGAAGAAAAGCAATCTCTAATAAATACTTCTAAATGACTATTGTGTTCCCTAGCATTCTAAGGGATTGTAGCTCTTCTTATATTCTCGCTCTTATATCACTTATTATAAACTGGTGCCTGCTCATTTAATAGACATTAAGTTGTTATTCTGATAATACCCAATAAGATCTTGCATTATTGTGAATCAAGATAACTTTTTTGCTCATTTTTCTTGACTCTTACATTAAAATATTTAGTTTTTAGCAAAGCATGTGTTTTTAACACTGTAGGATTTTATTCTGTCTTCCTGTCATGGCAGATCTTATGTAGCTGAAATCACCTTAGTAACTGAGTTAATACCTGGGCTGTGCTGAAAGCTTCAATACCCATGTCTTGGAGTCTAAGCCATAACTTTATTTTTTACTGTACATATATGTAAATAGTAAAAAGATTCAGAATGTCAGAGAAAATAAAGGGTTCCAAAAAGGTTAATTTAATCAAAGAATAGGGCTTTTTCTATATTTCAGTGTCTCAGGAATGCCCCTCAAAAGCCTAAGGGAGTAGGCTGGCTTGGAAAGGAAACAAAAAGTTGGCAAAAAATGGAGTCCATTTGTTTCTGGGATTTCATGTGCTAGATTGCTTCCCTTCATTTAGAAAAAAACAAAGATTTCTGTGTAAATTTCTATGGAAAAAGTTTATATAAATCCCAGCTCTACCAATTAATAGCATTTATAACCTTGGTAAAATTATGTAACCTTTTTGTGCCTTAGCTTCCTCATGTATAAATTGGGGGTGATATTAATACTTACCTTGAAAGATTATTTTGAGGAAAAGAAAGAGAATTCTGGTGAAGAATTCTGGTGAACACAGTGCCTGACACTTAGTAAGTGTTAATAGTGTTGTAATTTTTACCACCCTGGACAAGGCTAAAATCATAAACAGTACTTGTTTAAAAGGTTGACTCTTAGAGTTTCCCTTACTGTGAAAACAGAAATATTGTCAGTGCTCTGTGATTAAAATGGTAGTAGTTTATATGATAGAACAGTCTGATATTATAACCTGCCACACTATATGCAGATTGTGTTCATATGTGGCATACTGATGCCCCCATTTTACCTGCCTGTTCGTTGAAAAACATAACATACACGACTTCTTAAACATGCCCTCTTATGGACTAAGGCCATATTCTTGGTAATAACCAATCAGAACGATTAACATGAATAGCAGTTCTTAAATGTTGGGCTTGATAATGACTTTCCCACAATTGCTATTTTGGGTCCTTTCTTACTAGCCTGAGGAAATGACAAGATTGAGAAGCATGAACAGACAACTCCAGATAAATATTGACTGTACACTGAAAGAAGTTGACCTCCTTCAATCTAGAGGTATAGACTTGATTATTTGGTAAACCATAAGTAATAGTGTGGTATTTTAAGCTGCTTAAGTAGCCATCATTTTGGTTTTACAGATTTACAGTCCTGGTAAAGAGATCCCTCCACCCCATGGTCATAGATAGATTTGGGGGATCAAAAAATAGTTTTAGGCAATTTCATCATGAAGTTCTTATGATGTTCTATGTTGTTACTTTGCATTTATCCTCTTAGTCATTTCCTGTGAATATTTTGTAAACTGATGGGTTTTAGTTCTAAAACTTATATTGAGTCATATTATGTGATGGCGATCTAAAATAACTGTAAAAATAGGGATCCCAAATCAGAATTTCTTCATTTTAAAATAAATTCTAGATGCCATTGCTTTATGTATCTGTTACATGAAAATAATCCAGCTATATTTTAGAGTCTGTTTTGTGGGGCTTCCTTATACACGTGTACCACAGTAGAAGCTCTCTTACCTGACTTTCATTTACCCAGCTCACCGGGTTAGAGTTGTTCTTCATTTCCTCTGTAAAATGTACTGACGAAGCCCATAGTTTCTGCACACTCCTGACAAGGATGCTACATTCCGGCATGTCCATGATGACTATTGGGTCTGTCAGCTGAATTGTCTGCTTACCAAGAATCACTCATGCCTATTCCCAAACCTGTATGCCAGTTACTATACTTCTGTAATAAATGTTTTTCAAACTGACATGAAAACAGGAGAAGCTGCTCTATTTAAAAAAAAGGCAAATGCTTTTTAAAAACTCAAAGGCAAATTACTTAAAAAAATAGAGATTGTGAATTAGATATGGGTGAAAACAAAACTAAAAAGGTAAGGAGGGGGTGGGGGGATCATATAAATCTAAAAGAATTCTCTCCTCAAATGTTTTTAAAGTATCTTTCTTGCTCCATTCTAAAGAAATCAAAACAGTAAATTATAGATCAGGGTTCAGCAAACTAGCCTGCTGCCTTTTTTTGTAAATAAAGTTTTAATGGAACTCAGCCATGTGCATTTGCTTATGTGTTGTCTGGGGCTGCTTTTGTGTTTCAGTAGCCTTGTTGAGGGCTTGCAACAGGGACTGTATCACACAGGTCCACAAAGCCTAAAATGTTACTCAGCCCCTGTACAGAAAAAGTGTGTTGACCTCACTTTAAATCGTGATGGGTATAGTTTATATTAGAAATACAGTCTAGAACTTCAGTCACCAGACATACAAAGCAAAGGTCTTGGTCCAACACTAAAATATTGGTATGTTTATATGTTCTGTTACAATAAAATTGATGTGTAATTTTTCTTAATTCTGTGTTTTAATCAGCTGTTACCCCCAACCACTTGCGATTCTTATGGCAGCTAAGGGAGCTTCTACTGTATCTTAAGAGTATATAATAATACCCTGTTGCCATTTTTAGCTGAGCTTAAGCAGAAGCCGGGGAACCCAAAAGATAGGAACTATCTGCACAATAGACAGAAGTGAATTTGCATGTGAAGTTGAGCAATGTAGTCTGGTACCCTTTAAAGCTCTTTTCAGAAGCCTAGTCATTCTACAGCCTACTAGCTTTAAGCAGTGAGTTACCTTGGATAACGTGGGAGTTATACAAACTATTGCTACTATATTAGAAGATTTTATCTTTTTCTGCTTGTGTGTTCTTTGAAGCAAAACAAGAAGCATTCAAACATTTGGTTAGGATATTTATAGTAAGCCTTATGGGATCTAGCAATTAGAACATCAGCTGTGATTTAAGTAATTGAATAAATTCATATGCACCATCTTAAAACATAAAAAAGATCCAATTAATATATCTAGTAGCATTGTGGCTTTCACGAGCTGAGGTAGGACTTTCAGAAAGTTATCTTAAAATAGCATATCCAAATGGATAAAAGCATTTGTAATAGGACCTGCAAATGAAACTACTATTAAGGTTTTATAAGCAAAGAGCTGTGTTTTTGGTCTCCATTGGGCAACAAAGAGCTCTTTTGGGTACTTAAGCATTTCTAAATCTCCTTTCCTAAGGGATCCAGATATACTCATTTTATACTAAATTATACTCTTCCATTGCTCTGGAAAAAAAATAGTGAGTTTCCAATCTAAACTTGTAAGAAGAGAAGGAAACTAAACATTTTTGGGGACATTTAGACTAGAGTCAAATCAGCCCAAAAAGCAGTTTTACTCTCGGTTTTGATGAGAAAACTTTTTGTTGGGAAAAAAAATGAGGTTGAGAAATCAAGAGATCCAATATATTTGAACTATTAATACCATATAGCATCATTTGTAAATAAGCATGGGTGCAGTTATAAAGCTTAGTTGGAATTGTGCAGAGCAAGCAGATTACAGTGATAGATTCACAGAAGTTAAGGTAGAACTCAGACTTGGCACTGGATCAAAAGTGACCTTGGGGGAATCATAGCAGGAGGTGAGGCTGAAATAGACACTACTAGATCAGGGGGTGAACATTTTAAGAGAGACAAAAATTTGGGTGCAAGACAAAATTCTCAGGGGTTCTGTTATTCTGAAATTGGCACCATATCTTTTATTATTGATAAATCTGTAGGCAGCATTTAAGATTCTCCTTCCCTTAATGATTGCAATCCATGAGCTGCTGATATACAACTTGATTAATCTTTGTAAGTTTATAAATTTGGCTTCCATAGTTGAATTTATAATGGATAAAATTTTAAGGTAGATTATGAAAGACATAAAAGTCAGCTATTTAAATCTTCTCATGATTTGTTCATTAAAAATCAAAACAGAGAAAACAGTTTGATTACTCTTTCATTTTTCTTTTTCATTTCCCTCCCTAAATGCACTACATGCCTAATCCTGCCTAAAGAGATTAGCTTTACAGTTAGACACTGGTGTGATAGATTGCTTTGGTCTTTTCTCACAATGATAAAACAATTTCAGTGGGAGGAATATGAATATAATATGAATTTTAAAACCCTGGGAAACAGTTTCCCCTCATACATGTTTTATTTCCTTAACAAAAAGTTCAAATAATGGGAAAAAGCCCTAAATGCCTGGTGATCTTATTTTCTTTATAGGAAACTTTGATCCAAAAGCCATGAATAACTTTTATGACAACATAGAACCTGGCCCAGTTGTACCACCCAAGTCATCTAAGAAAGGTGAGTAGGGAAATGTCACAAAGATCATAGAAATAAATATGAAAATTCTTTGGTAGTTTACATATTTAGCTAAAGAAACTTCCATTAGAGATACTCATTAACTTGTTCAGCATAAAAAAGGTTACCATATTGATGTTACTGTGGCAATAAATGAAGTGCTCCCAAACTTAATTTCTAAAAAGCACGAAAATTAGTAACTCCTGGGATTATTGTCAGTGGTAATCAAATGGAATATACAGGGTTTTTTTTAGTTGAAACAGTGTATTATCTAGTTATTATTATAAATGTATGCAGTGCTGGAAAAACTATAATCCTAAAAGATAATTCTTATAAAATGACAATTTTAAAGGCCTTATGTTAGAAAGGAAAGTTTGATCTGGAGTAGATCTAAGATTATTTCATTGGCAGGCCACAAAAGAATCCTGTGTACTCAGCAGGTGGGCATAATAATTAAATTGACATTAGGTATTTTATCACTAAAGACAAAATAAATCCTCCATGAACAAGATTTACAGGAATCATTTTTGTGTAATTGTTACATTTCTATGTAATGTTAAAGTTACCAGATCTGTCCTCCTTGTTTTTATGTACCAATGTTTAATTGGCATTTCAGTGCCTTCAAAATTAATTTGAATTTAAACATTAAGTCACTGAATTTAAACTAACTTCTTCTGCCCATTCTTGTTAATGGCCTGTATTGTTTTATAAATAGAATTTTCAAGACTTAGCTAAATTATGCATTTCATATCTTAATCCTTTTTGCTTTAAGCAACGCAAAATAGATTGATCATGAAGACATATAGAATAGGTAATTTTTTTAAAGGTAAGGCATTCTTCACTAAGGGTATAATATTTTTAAAATTTTCTCACTCTTATTAAATCAGGAAATATCTAAATTCTATCTAAATAATGTTACCTGACCTAAATTATTTAAATTTTAGTTGAATAGGTTTCTGTATCTTAAGCTTGGTACAGTGTTTTAAGTATTTCATTTATAGGTTGTAATGCAGAATCTGTTCTTTTTATTGTAATACTACCATGGATATTTCATCTGATTGTTATTTAAAATAGCCTACTGATTTCTAAAATTGGTACAAAGAAGAATCTTAGTGGATGATTGCCAAGTACGAGATTTGGTACTGTGGCAACATTATATGCAGCTTCAAGCTGAAAGTCACTGAGGTATATATCATTGATCACTTTAACCATTTAAGTTAATATGTGAGTCTTTAAACTTGATTTTGCCTGATTGTCTACTAAGGAAGCATTTCCTACTGGTAAGCCAACAAACTTCAGTTAATTGATTCAAGGGCTGTCCCAGAGGAAGCACCCTGTTTGAGGGAGTGCACTGAAAAGTTGTTAACCTGGAAACAGGGGACCAAGCTGATGGCTAATCTGTTCACTATGAGTCACCTCCTTAGCATAAACTGTCAGGTATGGTCCGGAGGGCCCACCATAAATAACAAAGACATTGTCATCGCTTGGGAAGTTTCAGTTTTAGAGGTTATCTCCCAGGAGCTGGGGACAAAGCTAGACCTCTCTTTGGGCAAGACCAAATTCTTTACAGTAGTTAAAACAGTGTTTAGAGGAAAATTTATAGCTTTAAAAAAAATGCTCATATAAGACATGACAATCTAAAATAAATGACTGGAGATTCCATCTTTAGAAACTAGATTTCTGAAGAACAAAGTAAGTAGAAGAAAGGAAAGATAAGCTAAGTCAGTAAGCTAGAAAACAGAAACAATAGAGAAAGTTAAAACCAAAAGTTTGATCTTTGAAAGATAAACTCTGAACTTGACTGATCTGGAAAGAAAGGGAACACAAACTACCAAAATCAGAAGTAAAAGATGGTTTATCCATTAAAATAATGAGGAAATGTGATGAACATCTTTATGCCCATAACCTTGTCATCTTAGAAATGGACACATTTCTTGAAAAATGTAACCTACCAGAACTAGAAATAAGATGCAATAGGAAATACTAATAGTTGTATATTGATTAAATTGAAACCATTGTCAAATTTTCTCACAAAGAAAACTCCTGACCCAGATGGTTTCACTGGGCACGTCAGTTCTATGAAACATTTAAGGAAGAAATAAGGCCACTCTTACTCGGAGTTTTTAAGAGTATGGAGGAGGAAGAAAAGCCCCCCACCCCTTTTTAAATGGAGCCTGCAGAACCCTGATTCTAAAACCTTATAAAGACATTACCTACCCATCCCACAAAAAGGAAAAAAATTACAGATCAATATCCTTCATGAACATAAAAGCAAAAAAATCCTTAATAAAATATTCATAATATTTAAAAACATAATACATCATGACCAAGTTAGGATTAGCTCAGGAAGGCAATATTAGCAAAGTAAAGAAGAAAAAGCTTATGATTGTTTCACTAGATGCAGGAAAAGCATCCGACAAAATTCAGTAGCCATTGCTTGCATGATGATATGATTGCTTGCAAAAAATAATCTATAGATATTGAAAAACAACTGTTAGGACATGAGTGGATTTAACAAGGTCTTGGATGCAAGGTCAGTGTACAGAAACCTTATTTTTACATATTAGCAAAGAATTTGAAAATGAATTTACAAACATAATTAACAGTACCATCAAAAAATATGACACACCTAGGAATAAGTTTGATATGTACGTCAAAAATTACAAAACATTGCTAAAAGAAAGTAAACCTAAGTAGAATAATAAACTATGTTCATGATTAAATCTATTGTTGAGATGCCTATTCTTCTTCCCATATTGATTTGTAGTTAGGATGCAGTGCCAGTTGAAATTCCATCAGGCTTCTTTTGGGGTAGAAATTAATAAGCTGATTCTGAAATTCGTATGAAAATGCAGAAGCCTTAGACTATCCAAAACAATTTTGAAAAAGAAAAGTGAGGTTGGAAATCATGCTAACCAGCTTTAGGGCTTCCTTCCTAAAAAGCTACTGTAATCACAGCGTGCTACTGGCATAGGGATAAAAATACAGATAAGTGAAATAGAATAGAGAGTCCAGAGGTAGACCCTCACACTGACAACTGGTTTTTGACAAAAGCACCAAGGAACCATTGGGGAACAGGAAGTCTTTTCAACAATAACCAGTGTTGGAAGCACTGGATATACATATGGAAAAAAACAAATTTCGATGTTTACCTCATATAGTACACAAAAATTTGTGATAAGTCATACACACCTAAGAACTATAAAGCTTCCAAAACAAAATATTAGAATATCCTTGCAACCTTGGTGTAGCTAAGGATTATTTTAGACAGGGCACAGGAAGCAATGAAAAGAAATAGCACAGATAAATCAGCCTTCAGTAAAATTCAACAGTATTAAAAAGGTGAAAAGGCAGCCACAGACTGGGAGAAAATATTTGCAAAACATCTGGTAAAGAACTGGTATTCAGAATGTATAAAAGGATTTCTATAATGTGAAAATAAAAAGACAACTTAATAAAAAGGTCAAAACATTTGAGCAGACACTTAAAAAGAATATATATATAAACGGCCAGTAAGTACATGAAAATGCTGAACTTGAGCGGACATTAGGGAAATGAAAATTAAAATACCACCTCATATCCACCCAAACAGCCAAAATTCCAAAGACTGATAATATGAAACGTTAGGATGTAGAGCAATTAAAACTCTTACACATTATTGGTGAAAGTATAAAATGGTATCACCATTTTGGAAAATGGTCTGACCATTTCTTATAAAACCAAACATTCACCTGCCTTATAGTCCATCAATTCCACTTATGAAAATTTATCCAAGAGAATATAAAGCATATGTCCCCAAAATAATGTGTATTAGAAGATGTGTGTCATTTTTATTCAAGATAACCCAAAGCTGGAAATAAACTGAGTGTCCCTCAACAGGTGAATGGATAAATGATATGTGATATATTCATACCATGGACTACTATTCAGCAGCAAAACTGCTGATACATACAAGACGGATGAATCTCACCAACATAGTACTGAATGAAATGAAATACGAAAGGATACATACTGTATGATTCTGTTTATATGAATTTCTAGAACAAGCTAATTTATGGTAAAAAATCAGATCAGTGGTTGTTTCTGGGAGTTGAAGGTTAACTGGGAAAGGACTTGGGAGGAGTAATGTTCTGAGTCTTGGTACGGATTTGGATTATCCAAAGTGCATATGCTTTGTCACAACTCATCAAATGATACACTTAAAGTTTGTGTATTTCATTGTTTACATTTCATATTTATGATTCACAAAGAAGTAAAGGACAATTTCTTGAGGCAATATGATGGGTCAAGCTGCCAGGACCCCATGTACTCAAGAGTTTTCTAGCAGTAGTGATATTAGTGTTGCAGATAGGTTATCCTGCTTTCTGTGTTTGAGACCAACACTGTGTATTTGAGGTGGGCGGTTCCTGTTTGGTATACTTCCCAGCTGGTAATGGTGTAGGACTTGCACTCGTAGTATGCTATTAATACCAAGCTTCATCATACACTAAAAAAGCTCTTTTCTGTGGTACTTTTAATTCTAATAGAATTTGCTGAAACTGATATTGGATACTCCCTTAGACATAGTTGTAACAGGATTCCAGTTAATAGTCAATTTCTTAAATGTGGGTTAGGTCCTCAGTATGTGGATGATTATGTAGGTAGGTGCTTGATGCTACAAAGGTAAGACATGACTCCTAGCCCAGATAGGCTCATACTGTACATGTACAGTTTTAATTAAAAGTGGACTAGAAAGCCATCTAAAATAAATCTTCACTATAAATGAAGTTTTACTGTAAAAATCTAATTGAGCTTTATAAAATATATACGATAAAATGGCACTATCACATGATTTTAAACATTTCACCTTTTTCTATTAAAACTTAGGAACAAGAGAACTTGATTAAATTCTGTAATTCTTTGGGAAACCTTTTCACAACAGATTTATAAAAGCTATTTGATTTTCTCTATGACATCAATTTTTTTTAAGCACTTGCAGATTCTCTTTATTACCCTTTCCTAAAAGTATCTAATTTAATGCAGGTTATCTTGTGGTACCACTTATTTAAATTTAAGAAGCAAGTAAAATGTTAATAACTGGTAGAAATTGGTTTAGTGGTTAGAATAAAATGTCTTAGATTTATGACAGATATACAGTATAAGTCCAAGTGGAATATAGACATTTATCTGAATAATAAGTGTGATAATTAAAGGGACAGAATGAGAGAGAGAAAGAAAGAGAGAAACTTTTTTGGACTGGACTTTGTAATTATGCAGTACAGTGTGCATATATATAAGCTTCTCAACTGGTTCACAGAGCTCCCCCCGCCCTGTTGTGGGTAACTCACAGTGGGGAGAGCACTGACCTTGGTTGTCCCGTGACTTGAGAGCTGGTCAGGGTTGTCCTGGCCGCCTGACCTTGTTCAGATCCACTGTGTACCAGAGAGGTGATCAGTCAAAATACTCAGCTTGTGTATTTTACAGGGTTGTTGTGAGAGGAGGTATGCGACCCTATAAAAATGCTTTACAAGCCTATGAAACAGAACTTGACCTTCTTCTTTGGAGCCTAAGGAGACCATTTACTCTGCTTTTGATTACTCTGGTAATAAAGGGTTTAAATGCCTAAGCCCCATGCTTTGGCTTCTGAAACAGTGATTTCCAAAGATGGGTTGTACTAGGGGACTGCTTATGGGCTCAGAATTGATGAGAAAAGGCAATCTTTGGTTCTTCAGGGCAAATAATATGAAGTCTTTCATTTTTCATTTCTACTTAATAGAAAGGACTGCTTACACTATAGTAATGGATAAATTAATAGAAACAGTATTCTAGCAAGAAATTGAGATGCCTGCAGTCCATGTTGCAAAGTGTCATACTAGGATTTTGCACATGTACGTAATTGGAATTTATGAAATTTAAAAATTGTTATCAGTATATAGTATTTTGAGTTGGCTCTGATTTTTCAAGTACTGCTATTCTTGCTATTTAATTATAAAATACTGTAGTTTAATGTTAACCATTATTGAAAGTGGGTTCTCTGGTTAGCCTTATGTAGATAGTGTACTTTCAACCCATAATTTTCTAATAACCTGCTTAATCAGGGAGTTGCTTATCTCCCAAATTTTGTTTTCACATTGACATTTAATTGCTATCACTGAGTTTGCACTCCTGACCCACTACAGAGTGGGACACTGATAAAATAAGGCATTTATTCCAAATAATTGGAGAGGTTGGGAAAAGTTGTAAGAGACACTACTCTGGATAGATTGTAAAAGCAGCAGTAAATATGGAACTTGGCCTCACAGGAGAGCTACAGGTCACATGAAATAACAGGAAGGGTAAACACTCAACTGTGCATGTCTTGTGAGAGGTCCTGGTGAGCCTGTCCATTCTTGAAATGAGTGGCTTGATCCCTTCTTCGTGGCCTTTGCTTCTTACACAGACTCGTCAGATCCCTGCACCATTGAGAGGAAGGCCCGAAGAATTAGCGTGACCTCCAAAGTACAGGCGGACGTCCACGACACCCAGGCAGCGGTTGCAGATGGTTTGTACTCGTTTGCCCAGAGTTTGTGCAAAGTGTCCAAAGACATGTGTTAACCCATGTAGTCACCACGAGTAAGGGCTGGCTTTTTTTTCCTTTAAAAATTAATCTAACGAATTTATAAGGTTGTGCTGTCCAGTAGAAATAGAACTGGAGCCACATACATAAAATTTTCTAGTAGCTATGTTAAAGTAAAACAAAAGGGAAATTAATATTAATATATATATATATTTTTTTGTAGATAATTATTTTTTATTGAAGGGTAGTTGACACACAGTATTACATTAGTTTCAGGTGTACAACACAGTGATTCAACATTTATATACATGATAATTCTAGGTACCAGCTATCACCATACAAAGTTGTTAACAATATTTTGACTATATTCCTTATGCTATACTTTACATCCCGGTTACTTATTTATTTTACAATTGGAAGTCTGTACTTTTTTTTTTTTTTTGAGAGGGCATT